TGAACTGGTTGCCGACCAATCGCAGGGCACACATAAATGAGCAACCATTTACACTCACAATCACACCTACGGACAATTTGGAGTCTTCTATTAATCTGCCACGCATGTTTTTGGAATGTGGGAGGCAACCAGAACTCCCTAAGAAAACCCACTCAGGCACGGGGAGAACATGCCAACTCCATACATAAGGCCAGAATCGAACCCTGTACTTCTGCATTGTGAGGCGGATGTGTTAATCAGTTGAATACTGTACCACCCAGCAAACAATTTATTTATTTATTTATTTGTTTAATTTTTAAAAAAATGCACAACCTCAATCTCAGGTCAGCTCTTAGCGTAGGTCATCCTTTAAATATGAAGCTTGGCCGCTTTAAATATCTCTGTCTTAACGCAGGCTGCCGGTTTTAACAGTAATCACATAACAATGATACTGCCACAGGAGATAAGAGGGATTTAAATGGCTCCGCCTCCTTCAACTCTGTAACTTGATAGCGTGCAAATTATTCACCTCATTGTTCCAGTCGCACCATCTGCTCACTTCAAACTGCCTGTGCATCACAGCGCTTCGAGCACAGAGGCTAATGACCGAGTCATGTGAGCCATATGTAAAGCGGCCTTCAAATCTACGCCCGGCTAATATTTGGACGTCATTCTCCAAAGCCTCGCAAGCGCCACTGCTTTTCACAACCGCCAATTTAAACCGCAGCTGTAGTTACACAATGTTTATTTAAGGCGGGTAGATAGAAGTGGCACTTTAAATAACTTGGCTGTTATTGCGCCTGTGCGCTGACTAGATTTGTCTGCAAATAGTGGATAGGCGTTGGTGGAAGTTGGGGGGTGCATATTTAATGTAGACAGAGGGCAGGAAGTAATAATACTGCTGTATTTGTTTACTGTCCATTTCATGGCTGTTATGGTGGCTCACATCCGTTGGGAATTGTATGTTTTAAAACAAATGGCAGCAGCCATTTAAACAGCTGGTCTGCGTAGAATTACGACTGGATTTCCTTGAATTGTTTTCTTGATCAAATCATGTTTGCAGCCACTTGTTGTTAGGCAGGTCCTTTTTGAAAACCCGCGGTACACAACGAAGCAAAGCCAGGAGCACAGTCAGTCGGACAAAGTCAGACACACGCTTGGCAAATTACTCGAAACGATGCGCTCTGGTATTCGGAACCAGTCAGCATAATGAGTCAGTAAAATGTCGGGTGGATTGTTCGTTAGTTAGATCCTGTTTGGCTGTTCATTGGATTATTTGGTGGGGTAGTCAGTCAGTCTGCTCGTTGGCTGTTTGGTTGTTTGGTTGGTAAATTTATTGATGGGCCGGTTTTGTTCATCAGTTAGTAGGTCATTAGGATTGATTGATCAGTTGGTGAAATCTACTGACCAGTTAGTGGTTGGTGGCTTGGTTAGTTTGTCGCTCAAACGCTGAGTTGGCTGTTTCGTTGTTTGAGTGGGTAGTTAATGAGCTTGGGAACGGGTCTGTTAGTTAGCAGGTGTGTTGGTTGGTTGGCCGCTTGGTTGGTTGTTTGGTGAGTTAGTCTACGTGTCGTCTGTTTGGCCGGTTAGTTTATCAGTCTTTCAGGCAGTTGGTGGGTCGATCTGCGAGTTCGTTGCTTAGATAGTCACTCAGTTAGCCGCAGGATTACTCGTAAGACACAAGACAGAGCTCGTGATCCAAGAATTCATAAATTTACCCTTTCGGGGACAGCGGTTACGACAGTGGACAGCTTACCATGTTATCAAGTTACAGGGAGCGTGAAAGGGTTAAAAATGGAAAAGCGTGAACAATTTAATGACTAGCTAAAATGAAGAAATAAGAGTATGTATCGAGTGTCTGAGGTCAAAGAATATGAGCTACTCTCAAACAAAGAGAAGCGGAAGATACTGCACACGCTGAATATCAATAATGTATTGATGTCGAGCCGAGTGTTCCCAGTCGCGCCCCGAAGCAGGTTGTGGCACGACAATTAAAAATAAATAAATAAATAAATAACATCCCAATTTGCCGCCACAATAAAAGACACATTTGTAAAACTGCATATAAATCTCATGTCTTTTTCGGATGAACGGCCATCACTGGGGAACGGAAGCACTCGGATGTGTAACAGCCCCAAATCCAAATTGACGTTGTGTTCTTCCTCCTCATCTTCCGTGTTATCAAAAGAGTTGATGGTGTGGCTGCCACAAAAGAAAGCATTTTGACTTGTATGTGCGTCCAACCAGGAACCGCGTGAGGCCCTCAACCATTTCCTGGCAATCCCGGGGCGCTCGGTAGAGACTTCCTCGGTGGGTCATGGCTGCCAGCAGCACGACACGTCTAATTTGCAAGTGATGTGTGGCATTAACTAACAGCTGATAAACAGAGAAGGGAAATGCGGCAGCTGCGACACACGCAGCTGCACAGTGGGCCACTTATTTGCATGTTTGCCGCACAAATCAAGTGTTTGCAGAGAGGGGAGATGTGCCTCGTCGACGCCTATACGTTGGCGTCGTGTTAAGTACACCGTGTCGCCGCTTGCCGAGTCCGACTGTGCTCAAACAGCAAGCTGCGAGAGGTTGTTGAACTTTGGAAATGTCAACCAGGGCTCCTTGCCGACAGCACCTCCTCAGCATCCTCCATGCGTACAGGTGCTAGAGTCTTCCTCGAGTTACGGTGACCAGATTTTTTTTTTGGACCTGAAACACACCCACTTCTGAGGACATACAAAGAGCATACAGCCCACCATTTAGAAAAAAAAATTGTTCTCCAGAAAGGAATCTGTTTACATCCCACCTTGCTGCTCAGTCTGTATGTACCATTTGTCACTGGTCTGGCAGTCATTGGCCAGTCTTACCTGTTAATCGGTAGGAGCAGAATGATGCCATGCAAAAATTGTTGGCTGGTCTTGTGTCAGTCATGATAGCAGCATTATCGTAGCCATTTTGAAATTTGGGAAGAAAGTCCCACCTTCTTGTGTTGTCTGACCATACTACTCACGAGCTAGCTTTTCAGACACACAAAGTATTTTCATAAATGGACTTGTTTTGATATATACCCTTGAGCGTTGCTTGTATGGTGCTTTCACCCCGCAGACCGATAAGTCAATCTGTATCGTCCTGTGTCCAAGCATAGCTGTTTTCAGTTTCTTCAATGTGCTTCATTCTTTACCGCTTTGCTATCCAGACGACAAAAGAGACGTCCAGTTTCACTCTGGATTTATGGCTAGCAGTCTGAACAAGGGCTGAGTTAGATGCGTGAGCTTGCGTGTAGTGTAAAATACAAAGTTAAGTGCTATCTTGACTTGACCCACACAAATTTTTCAAGATACAAGTGTTGCTCGGGCATATTTTTTTTGTCTTGAGGTGTGAGCAAAATTTGGAATTACAAGTGCTACACAATGGCAGTGAACTTCAAAAGAAGTTGTAGTTAGTGAACCATTGAAAAATGGTCAAGCATAAAACAAACAAAAAACATGAAACAAATTGAATTACGCATTGTGAGTTTAATCAATTCACAGAACGTACAGAGGTCTGCAAGCTTAATGCTAATGCACAGTGCAAAGCGCCATAGACGGGCAACCGAAACTAGCATCGATGTGTCGGTACTTATAACTCTTTAAGGAATGGCTATTTGAACACAACTGGTGCAGTGGCACGGAGAAATATTACATGCAGCTTACTGAGACAGGTTGTTGTGAAACTCTTCTTCGTGTATTATGGATGCCTGTTTTATACGGCCCCATTGTGGCCAAGGTGTGCACAAAAGAAGGAGCACCATGCCAATGGGCATTGAAGCATTAAATCATCCTGAATAAACTGTTTAATTATTTACATTCTTCTTATGTTTTCACTCTATGAAATATTTGTTAGACCAGTTCAACTCAATTCAACAAAAAAATGTGGCTTATTTCAACAAAATGAGGACACTTGTATTTTGAGCTTTGTTGTTCTGACATTATTCTAAGTTCAATGCCATAAGTCAAGCCCATTCCCCACCCCGCGGAAATCAGTTTTGTTCAATGTATGTACTCCTGACAAATAAAATATCACGAAAACATAACCTTGCTGGCAGAGGTAATGAACACCTCCTTGCGAGTGTCAATCAAATCTGAGCATTATTATCTTTGTGGAGGCAGAATTTGTGATTGGATCTGATGAGATTGTGCCGCTCGAAGCTACGGTGAAACAGCGCCTCCTACCTTACACTTTGCCTCCGTATTCGTCTCAGATCGCATGCCTGGGAGCCAGTCACTGCAATGTCTCTCCTCCTCCTCTCCACCCTATCTTGAATTATGAGCCTGCCTCATTGGCGTGTTGTTTACATGTGTGCTCTCTACTTGCAATGCATCTTGTGAGAAGGAGAGAAAGAATACACCGACTTCGCTGTTAATCACGCTTCCACGCGCACGCATCTCTCCACGACTGTTATCTTCTGCAGACAAAAAAAACATCATTACCTTAATGTTATTGAATCTGTTTTTAAATGCCCTATCAATCCCATTGTTCTCATATTAAACTCGTCTGTGGAGCCAAAAAAAAAAAAAAAAAGTGTCACCTGCACATACAGATTGGCTGCAAATGTTGAACCTCTGACCGTCCCTCATGAACAGAAGCGGCAAATAAAATAATGTGATCGTCAGCCTCCCCTCACTTCCGATAGCTTCGTTCCCTCCCTCTCTTCCGACAGTTGATGTGCGGTCTCCGAGGGGGTCATTGGGAAGCTGTGGAGTGCCCTCGTGTGTTCATGATGGTTTGCACGCCATCATTTCAGTGGGCTTCTGTGTGCGCCGTTCTCACTCGCCAATCTCTCACCCGGGGCCTTGCCCTCAATAGTGTCACACATGTAACGTCATGTAGCTGATGGTACACAAAAATGGGCAAAAGTACTCAGACATCACCATTACCACACACACAGGTGGTTTCATTTAATATTACTTGTCATATAGCAATGCTTGTATCTGCTTAATAAGGGTGTAAATTGAGGGGATGCTTAATTGTGGTGTCTCTGTTCTTCGTAGGAGGCGCACTGAACCTGACGTGCCGGGCGTTTTTCGGCTACAGCGGCGACGTCATCCCTCTCATCTACTGGATGAAGGGAGACAAGTTCATCGAAGACTTGGATGAGGAGCGAGTGCAGGAGTCTGAAATCAAGTAAGGAATACAACTGGATAACTGAAGTTCAAATCGGGCCTAATTAAATGGTAATGACATTAGCATTGTCTTGTGTAGTTAGCAAACGAATGTATCCATTTACTCGACCATGAAGTGCAAGCCGGAACGTTACCTGACATTAAGCTAAATTAGCAAACTAGCACATCTATTTGCTTAACAATTAACTCAGAGAAGTAGCATTAACCAACATTGAGTTAAATTAGTAAACTAACATGTCTGTTTTCCTGGCAAGTTGGAGAAGTAACATTAGCTAAGATTAAGGCAAGCTAGCTGGCTGGAAAAAGTTCAGCGTTAATAACATTTTTGTACAGTTACACAATTAGCCGTTTGTATTCATTTAATATTTCATTTGAAGAAAGTAAAATCAACTGACTTTAAGTTAAATTAACTAAAAAAAACTGATGAGAAAAGAGGATTTGAAGCACGAGAGTTTTAAGTTATGTGTGGTCACAGAACAATTTGGACTCGGATCGCAAGTACTCTGTACTGAATAATTGAACAAAAGGTCATGTTAACTGACATGAAATTAAATTAGCCAACAAAAAGTTGATTTTCCCCAAAATAAAGTTGAAGAAAAGAAAACCTTTTACTGAGCAAAATGGACCCCAAATTCACAGAGTTACAGTTAAATTAGCCAACTCACACAGCTATTGAGCAGACACTTCAATAGGAGAAGTGTTATCCGACACTGAGTTAAATTAGCAAACTAACATGTTGATTTTCCAAACAATTAAGTCAGAGAAGTACAGTTGACCGACATTGAGTTAAATTAGCAAACTGGCGCATTGCAGATTTTTTTTTTTTTTTTTTTTTTTTTTTTTTTTTACCATATGCAAGCCATTCATCATTATCAGAGGTTGTACTTTTGGCAATACATTGACATTCACGAAAAGTTACATAATTAGTATGTCATATTTACCCAATAGAGAATATATAGAGTTGGAGAAGTTGATCATTCATTAATCATTCATTAATATAATATAATCATATACTACTTATCGTAATGAAGAAAGCTGATCACGGGACATTTTTTTTCAAATGGCAACTCTCATGCGCTCATGTTTATGTAATGTTGCCCCTAAAGTTACCAAGAGTGTTTGTTTATTTATATAATATACATTATGTTGTTGTTTTCAATTTACATTTTCCCGGCATTGTTGGTCATGAACAGGCAAGGCTGTAGTCACAAAGCTAAGTGTCCTAATAGGCTGTAGTACTGCCACCAAGAGGAATGGCATACATTCAGTCGAAAATTAATTTGCATGTTTCAGCCTATTGACTCCAAATTACTAAAACCCACAATTTTCCGGTGATGCATTTGCCTCATTCCGACCAGCTGCTGGTCTGCATTTATTTTCCTGTAATGCTGCTTCAACTTGTTATTCATGAGTTAAAATGAAGAAAATACCGTACATGTTGCCTCACTGGCACGGCGTATTAGCAAACTGATGTCAGTGTTGCTGCAGCGCTACATTGATTATGTGTCGCAACCTTCACTGCAATCACCAGCAAGCGTCGTCACAATTCCATTACGGTGGAAGTAACAAACTGAATATAAATATACGTATGTGACGAAACTGATATCTTGACAGTGTTTTAAAATGGATTAGCGCAGCTCAACTTTAGTAAATCACCTTTATTTCATTTATACTCTTGTCATTGGTTTCATGTTATCACGCGTGAAAGTATTCACCTGTATGTACAGTATGCTTTGCTTTTTCTTTGGCTTTTGTCTCCCTGCACTTGAGCAAAGTACACAGACTCGCATTCAAATCACTAAAACCGCAGTGCGTCCCAATGAAGAGAAGATGATTTCATTGCTATATGCCAACCGGCTATTTTACGACATTAAAGCTACCGTTGGTCGCTAACCTCGGATATTAGCGACAGCTGCTAACTAGCTAGCCACAAAGAGGCTAGCTTTTGTGCGCCTCATAATCTAAGATGGAGTTGGATTGTGTTGATGGTTAGACTTACATTAGTCCAATAAAGGGTAAAAAAAATAAAAATTAGCTTAAACTTCAAAATAGTTCAGTTTGACACAAATAAGGAGAGTTAGTAAAATCAACAGTGGTTAACTTATTTTTACATTTTTGTTGACGTTAAAAAGATGAAAATGTTACTTAAACAGTTGCCTGCACAGTTATTCAAGCTTTTATGATGCTATGGTTTCGCCTCGAAACCGATGGTTTCTGATTCCCCGATTTCTCATGGGGAAAGCGTGTCAATGTTGCCGTCTTCCCTCATTCAAGTGTTCTCCTTTCAGTCCATTTCCATTGCTCTTTCCTTTGTCACTATACAGAGCCCAGCAAGTGTTGCTTAATGCGCTGTTAAAAAGGACATTCAAAGCGCGGCACAAAAAAAAAAAAGCCTCACTTTCGAGTCTACCGCTCAAAGATGTCCAAAATGAGCTCAATTCCGATGCGTCTTCCTCACGCGTGATAGAACACATTTTAAAACAAGTCCATTCGGTGCTCCGTGTGCAGGTTTGCCATTAGGGCTGTTTGGAGCGCCTGCAGCTCTGGGGGAGACAGCCCCTGTCAGATGGTTAACAGCCACCATTTTTCACACCGCTGCCACTTGTGCTATCTCTCTCTGTGCACCCACCTCCAGCAGCACACGGATGGGCGAGAGAGACTGAAAGATTGAACGGAGGGTGAAGGTATCCGATACGCATCCGGGATGTGTGTGTGCGGCGATCTGAATATGCGAGGGAAATACATTTCCTTTTAAGCGACTCACACCCGTACGAGGATTTCCCCCAAATGCACCGTAATACTGTATTCCTTGCGGTGGATCAATAAAGGATTTGATCAATCGCCTTGTGTTACTAATGCTGCTAGCGTCAGCTTTTTTTCCCCCATCCAGCCAAGGCCTCAAGTTTACTCCCATAAAGTCATCCAGCGATACGCAGTGCGCACTTAAGAGAAAGGATGGGAGCATCTCCACGTGAACAAATCTGCACTCATCCGACAGCAAACTTCCCCCTGGCACCCACACACACTTCGGCCTTCATTACAAATGCATCAAACCTGCACTTTTAGAGCAACAGCTCACTTCTGCCATTTATATACACCCAGCTCTCTAACTTATTGATCCAGGCGAGCTCATTTCTACAGCGAGCCCATACATTTTCATTTGCGCAACCCCAGGACAGGGCCACCGTCGCTGTCATAGCGCAGATGAATGGACATTAGCATATCGTGCGGGAGACTAATAAATAAGCAAAACAAAAATCCTAGCTTGCATATTTGAGGAAGGTGATCAATATGCCGCTGACCCAATTCGGATGGTGTTTTGCGGGCATATTTTGTGGGCACAATAATAAATGGAATGAGTCTGAAATTAATCACTTAAGTAGCAAACCCAGACTTCTCTAACGAGGAAGTAACAGAACGCTAAATGCGCCCGCAGCAGCCACTGAATCAATGCACTCATTTGTACCTCTCCATGAACTGCACTTCACACACTTTTTCAAAACATTTACATGCAATTAGAAGTCTTGATGCACTGACTTAATGCCAGATTGATATTCGGTGCACCTGCACAATATAAGGATATCCAATATGGCAAAAACCCTGCCTTTAAAAGCATTACTGCTTAGTTTTGATTGGCACAATGAGTGAGATGTTCTTATAACAATACATGATTGTGGTTTCACAGAAAACAAATGCCAAACACATGCCTTGTCCTGGAATTAATATATCGAGATTGTACCTTTTATACAGATCCACACAATTTATTGGAGGGGGGAGGGGTATTTTTGATGTATTCATATTGTATTAGTCAGTGTTGATTAATCTTCTGACTTATGTCCACTTAATGCATGAGACCCCCGATTTGTTAACTAGTTCGTTAGTTAGTTAGTGCATTGTTGAGCTGAATGTAGCTTGCAGGCTAACCATGACAGTATGTTTTGCTTCATTAGAACAGCGAACGCAAACAACGGGTACATTATATACAGGAATGAATACAGTATTTATTTGAACTAAAGGCGCACGCAAGCATGAGGTAATACAAAAAGCCACAAGACAATCACAGTAGTACTTGTAAGGAAAACATGAGACAAGAAGTGACGATACTGAACAAGACTAATGCGGAACAAACATGAGAGCAGCAAAATGCTATAGCAATGACGACAAGAAGCAAAAACTTGGCATCTTCTTCACGTCACTCCTGCGCTTGCCGATGACACTCGCCAGCAGGTGCGAGTCGGGTACGGGAGCAGTGTGGTGTCTTCTCACACCATGATGACAACAAAATGGAGTCACAGTTAGCCGAAGTTGCGTTACTACTTGCAAAAGTGTAACTTTTGTCTGAAAAATGTAGATGGCATGAACTAATACTCCCGAACACTAGCTAGTCATGTTAGCTGCTGAATATTAGCCAGGTGATTTTTACACTTTATTGTCAGGGACTTTGATGGCTGACTGTTTGAATAGCGAATATTAGCTTAAACTAGCTAGCCATATTAGGTGGTGAGTATTAGCTTGCTCATTTTAAGAATTCATTCAACAATTTCAATGTTAAAGAACAAGATGTAGTGGGCCAGGCACAAACTTTTATTTTGAAATATTAAAGCTGGCTTCCTGTCTATTTGCATTGCAGTTCACCTGTATCTCTGCGTCGCACTCTCAACTTCGCCTTCTCTCCTCCATGAGAGATGCAGGTTGCCATCTTATGATAGCAAGCCATTGCGCTGTGCCTGCTGGTGAACCAGGAATCTTCAAAGTACACGCCAAACCCTTGAGGAGAAGCCGGGGACATGAATTATTCCTCCTTTTCAACAACAAACCGGACGTACAAATATCACGAGTCCGTGACACACTTTCAATTACTGGTGCCAAACCGGCACAGCTCGCCATCCTTATGCGCATTTTATCGGCTTGAAGGCTACAGAGCGAGTGAAAGTGAGTTGAGGGCTGCTGGAGTCATTATCCCCACCTACACACTCACATACTTGCATACGCACGCGCACGCACACACACACACACACACACACACACACACACACACACACACACACACACACACACACACAGATACACACGAAGCCTTCTTCTCAGCCTCTTTAACACATCCAACCAATGACGCATGGCCGCCTCACTCAGCTCAGCCGGTGCTCGCGCACAAACAAGCGGGATGGCTTTCTCCTTTGCACTTCGCCTTTGTGCAGAGGGTGCTTTTAAAGTGAGCTAAGTAGAAGTGTTTGTGCCAGTGGGGAGGAGGCCATGATATCCCTATTCTCCCCTCCATCAGGCTCAACCAGCCGGGCCGGGGACACTCATTTACTTTATGGAATATTACATCCTCTCCGTTACCATGGCAGCCGCTATAAAAAGATTTTCTTCTCATCGCCGTTATTTGATTCCCTCCCTCCCTCCATGGTGCGTGGTCTTGAGGAAGAACCCTTATTGATTTTCATATCTCATATGTTTTGAGTGCAGGCAAAGAAATTAACATATGGTGACTTTATGACAGTGAAGGGGCCATTACATGCAGGTACTTTTTTTTTTTTTTTATCGTCATGTCTTCAAGAGAGCACTCCTAAAGCGAATGAAGGCAATCTACAGTATTTCTTCCAAAGTCACTTAGCCCCGGATTACATTTTTATGTTGAGTTTGTCATAAAAAGAATTGTCAAACTTCATTACCGTTGTGGCAGTGGACGTTAGACTTGGGAGGAGTTAAAGTTAATTTGCAGAAAACTGGCAGCCTAATGTGTGAGTGGTGAAAATACCTGCTCCACAGCTCTGAGGTTCGGGGGTTCGATTCTTGTGTCGTGTCCTGCGTTGCAACCAATCCACAGGGTACCCCATCTCGAGAAAGTCAGCTCGGATCGGCTCCAGCTCAGTAGGGATACACTTGATGATCGATGGATACAGAAAAGTGAAATATGATAAAATGGAACCTCGAAAGATGCAACAGAGTCTTCTTCCTGACAATGGCTGACCTTGGATTTCAAATTATTTACAATGACAGGGAAGTCTGGGCTTCCCTGCTTCAGCCCCTGCGACCCAACCCCGGAAAACAGGAAGAGAATGGATGGAGAAGATCGAAAAAAATGCAAATGAAATCAGTTTTTTATCTTATTTTGAAAAGTTCTTCTCCTTTTATCATACAGGATCGTCAAGGAGCACCTGGGCGAGCAGGAAGTCGCCATTTCCCTTACCATCGACTCATTGGAGGAGGAGGATCTGGGAAATTATTCCTGTTATGTGGAGAATGGCAACGGGCGTCGCCAGGCAACCATCCAGCTCTTCAGGAAGGGTGAGGACGCCACATTCGTAATGAGTGTTCACCCACTGACACGCATTTTATGAGTCTCGTTCGAGAGATCATGTCAAGGTTGAGAGAAATGCTTATTTGCTCTTTGTCGAGCAGGAGTCCGACAGCCAATTCCAAATCTTCATTAAAGCCACCCGCTGAATTTTTTTCAAGTCAGACTGCACTGATAAATGAAATGGAAATATGCATCAGTTTTACATATTTATTGTCGAGTCCACCAAAACTTTTCTCTTGAATTCTCAATACTTTCAGGAGGTCAGATCGTCTGACCACCAAAAACGCTATCGCCACATTTACATACGATTACTTTTTTAGCAGACATTCCAACTTTTTTTTTTTTTTGTCGGATTGAATGGTTTATTTTCACTTTTTACAACTTTCTGCAGAAATGTACAACTTGTTCTTGTACATGACATCTTTCCCCGATTGTGTTACTCTGCACAGAGAAAGTTTAGACCCGATGTTAATTTCGCCAACGAGCGTTGACTGGCAGATCTGCGAGAGGGAAGGCTGCACCGCTGTGAGAGTGGTCATAGCCTATTTCAGTCATGGCCAACGAAAGCGCTCTTGGAAACATGTCTGGTAAAATTGCAGTCACAATTATAAACGTATCGTTAAATTAATCCATCGCTAGCAGTGTCAATTGAAACTGAGCATGACTATCATTTGTAAAATCACTAGATCGTGCAGCTTTTCCATTCAGGGGCCCCTAAGACACAAGTTTTGATAGTACAGCGTTCTTGTCTCCTTGTCTCCCTGCTGTTATCAAAATCTCTGTGGGAGGTTTTTGAAAACACAGCGATTCTGTTTGAATTGGTCACTGCACACCAACAGCCCACAAATGTGCGTGTGCGGCAACAACACTAAAGAGAAGATATCCTTAGAATGATTGGAAGAAAGTCCAATAGTCGCTCTCATTCTCTCACTCTCCTCGCTCACTTTTCTTTCATGCTCTCCCGACTCTCCCTTGACGCCACACTGCAAAACTTCCCAGCTCCACATTCCTGCCGACTCAAATCATCGTTTTGCGCATCTTAGAGAGCTAGTTTGACTGCTGATGTAGTGGAACTGCCAAGGTCCAACATCGTCCATTGCATGACACCGCACCCGCTTAAAAAAAAAATGCTTACTTGACCGTAATGGAATTGGAAGTAATCTGACCTATATGGACTGTACGGCCAGTGTGACAATCTTATCCTTAAGAAGGCCTTTATAATAATAAAGGGAAAGTTCCTGACTTCATAGCTAGTTTTGAAAATCACCCATTTTATTAACCTAGCACAATGTCTGAAATAGCTTTCGTTTTGTAGTGGACCTTCATAATTGCAAATGCAAAGTGAGCTTATGTTTCCAATGGTAGCCATTCGGGGCTCAACCGCCAAAGATTTAAAGCGCAGCAGTTCTTTAGCGCAGGGAAAGCAGGTAAATGCTGCTTTAATTCACAACAGAAGTCATCCCGCCCCATGCTAACCCACAGGGGAGATTGGGAGGAGATAATAGAGAAGAGAAATGAGCAGAGAAATGCAGCACGGGGGTGGAAGAGTGTCCTGGGGGGGGGTGTTCATTTTCAGCGGTAAAGACAGAAGGGACGTTGGTGCGATGAGGAGAGCGAGCCGTCTCGTTTTTTAAAATGCCCGTTTTCATGGAAGGCATCCAAAGTGCAGTGCCGTTTCATTGCTGCGCCGCGCCAACCGAATGAATCCACTCTCCGCTCGTCTTCTATTTGTCTTCCTCCCCCGTGCACCGTCATCCCTCCCCAACGATGAACCTCTTGTGCCTGCCGCCCTCCCCGATGATGGATGCCGCCTCGCTGAGAGCTTAGCTTCCCGCGATACTGATGATGGTTCAGTCCAGAGAGTGGATGTGTAACCAAGTGGATGACTGTCAGCTTAAAGTTGCATATTCGTAAGCCCAGCTTCTTATTATTGAGGCCCGAATCAAACGAGGGACACCCAGAAGCAGAACATTTGTCAGAAGAAAATGCTCACTTCTTCTTTTTAGAATTGTCACAAGTGGATGTCCTACACCCGATTCTGGATTTTAACCCATGCACCAATAATGATAACCTGTAACCTGATAACATGATAAGCTGTCCACTGCAGTGACCGCTGTCCCTGAAAGGGTTAATGTCCAGGTGAGTTCATGACGACACTGTCCTCAAAAATGTCATTTTAACACCAAGGTATAACATTCGGCAATACTTCATCCACTACTGCGTGCATTTTGTGTGTGGACACGTCACAAAAAAAAAAAAAAAAAATTAAAATACCGTCAGCCACTGCATTGGCAACTTCTCTCAGCGATCAAGTATTTTTCTTTTTGCGCTGTTAGCTAATACTTAGCCGTGCATCCACCAAAACGTAATGCATCTCTGCTTACCCTTTCGCTGTGAAATGATCATATAGACGTCCCATCAGTGGAGGGCTGCGGGTGTTCGTGCGTGATAGTGTCTCTGCGTGGAAACTGTTTTAGACAGTGTCGTCTATCAGTCACTTGAAAGTGGCCCTGAATCTTCACCCATTCAGCCTATCATGTCATGAGTGGAGAAACTTTGTGTTATTATGTAAATTAACCCTACCCTTACGTCAATGTGGCCCAGAAGGTCTTCCTCAATGAAACATTTCCAGAAATATCCAGACACCAAAAGCTTTAATGGGTTGTTTCATATCTCACTCGATGGACAGGCAGGCAGAAGTACGATAATTTGCATATAATCAACTAAAATTAATTTCACATAAGTTGTCTCCTGAAAGTAGCGCGGTGCCATCATTCATACAGTTACTCAATGTCACCTCTTGAGGAATAAAGTAATGAAAGACCTCCACTCCCTTCTTGGATCTCGGTACAAAATGACAGTAGACTTTGACACTGTCATTTTGAAATTGTCTGCCTGGGTTTGATCCTACCGCGACTGACATTTTTGGGGGGGCCTTGTCTGTGTGTGTGTGTGTGTGTGTGTGTCATCCTCAGCAGAGCTCATGTACACGGTCGAGCTGGCCGGAGGGCTCGGGGCCATCTTGCTGCTGCTGATCTTCCTCATCTCGCTGTACAAATGCTACCGGATTGAGCTCATGCTCTTCTACAGGAGGCACTTTGGCAGTGAGGACCTGGACGGAGGTAAGCCTCATCATCCCTTTCTGTCCCTGGAATTGAGGTTAAGTCTGCATCGGGGCGGAAATCTATCGGTGGTGAAGCGTCAGGGCCAGCGAAAGCAGAAGCCTCAAAATGTGAACTTTTTGTTTCTTCCGCAGAGTATGCTCACTTTCAGAATCGTCTTTTTTTGAAAACGCTGTCCTTTTTCTCACGTTCTGTCGAGCTCATGAATAATGGATGCGACATTGTTTTGCCGTCAAAAAACTTTCACATGATTAAGTCATAGTGTCGGGGGGGCCGCGCCGGTACAAGCTGTTTTGATTCCCGCAACTTTGCTAGGTGGTTAATTTGCAAGGTTGGTTGCTAATTTGAGATGGGGGGTGTTTGATGTTGCCGTCCTACTGAGCACAGGCAGCCCGGCGTGGCCTTCCTTCGCAGTCGTTTCAAAGCTGCATGTGCTCCTCAAAGAGTTGATGAAAAAGCCCCTCTTTCCTTTTTGGTTGGCCCATATTCCAGCTTCCGCAGAGAATAATGACTAGGACTTAGTGAACATGTCACAACTAATACTTTCTTCCGGTCGTCTATTTTCTGCCTGTTCACTTCTTTCCACCGCCTCGTGGGAAATCATTTGGTGGTTCGGTATTTCCTCCACCAATTTGTTTTTCCAATCACCACAGGAACATGGCCATTGTGAAGTTGTTGTTTCCCCAAGTTTGCTTTAAGAGGTTAATTCGATGCGCTGCCATGGCAACTATTGTTTTCTCCATACCGTGGCATGCTGTGAGGTTCCAGGCTATGGAGGCACTGAAGTTAGAGTGACACAAAGAAATCCAAAGTCTGACCCATGCATATAGCACAATGCGGAAAGTCACATTTTTATTACAGCTCATCATGTTATCAGGTTACAGGGTGCATGAAAGGCATTAAGTCAGAAAGTCCGCGCTTCCCGTAAAGTAGTTGCAAAATCATTTTTATGTGAAGCGGAGCTGTCAGCTTCTGCTGAAGCTAACTCAGAAAGTAACTTGTAATTGAACTTTTCACTTCCGGTCATCAGTCAAGTCACTCGCATTGGAGAGTGGGAAGTGATTGAATATTCTGTATTTTCCGCACTAAAAGTCGCAGCTAAAAGCCTTCAGTTTTCTTCAAAGCTCCCAGCGCGCCTTAAAATCCGACGCGCCTTGTGTATGATCATTACGGTAATATTTTGACCCCCAAAATGGCTCCTTGCTCGAGACATGCTGACAAGGTAGCATTCAAACTTAAGCCGATCGGTCGCTGCCTTATTAAATAATGTACTGTACTGACATCTGATCATTCTGTTGGCGTTTCCTTGAGCGTAGTGCCATCTAGTGGATGCATTGTAGATTGCATCTTATAATGCGGTGTATGAAAAAAATTACAAAATAGGCCATTCATTGAAGGTGCGCCTCATAATCCAGTGCGCCTTTTAGTGTGGAAAATATGGTACTTTTAACATGTTGGAGAGTGGGAAGTGATTGAATATCTTCTTCTTCCAGAAAACAAGGACTATGACGCCTACCTGTCCTACACCAAAGTGGACCCCGACCAGTGGAGTCAGGAGACCCGTGAGGAAGAACGCTTTGCCCTGGAGATTCTCCCCGACGTGCTGGAGAAGCATTACGGCTACAAACTCTTCATCCCCGACCGGGACCTCATTCCGACTGGAAGTAAGCACCGAGTTGTCACACCTTTTCGTGTTGAGTGTTTTTTTGTCTTTTGTGTTGTGTTGGGTTTTTTTGTCTCGTGTTTTGTGGACGTTTCTCCTTCGAGCCTTTCGAACACACGTGCTTCTCCTGGAATGTTTATCGTATTGTGCAGTATAGTGCACGGGGCGAGCTGATGTAATGAAGACATTTCACATCTTGCGTGCCTCGCCCCATGCATTTTTAAACCGCTGAAAATTCCGTCTGAACAAATTCTCATGCATGCTAACTGTGCTCGGTAGGCTGTCTGAGGCGCTAGTACATAGCGTGCTCTAGTTACCAGCGATGCGGCGTGTTTGTACTGTCGGCTTCATGCGGAACAGATGAAACGCAAACACGTCCTGGTTGGACCATACAGAATTAAACATCAGTGGGGAAATGTGTTGAAGGCTCCGAGCCGTTGCTGACTGCTCTGCCTCTTTGCTATTTATCAAAGCAAAATTGCCGGCGGCGTTTGCGCCTGACACAATCATGGCGGATGAACGTCCATTCGGGAGGCTCGTGATTGAAATCAAATGTGACGCGAAAGATCAATGAGAGCAGATGAGGCCACTTTGACAAAGGCTGTTGTGTTGAGCATGTCTCGTGTTGTGTGTTCATGACCTGAATGTCAACATGTTTATGTTTAGGTCTCACCACTGAGCATTACCAGGATGACACGCGACTCTTTGGAGGTACTTTGCCCTGAATTTGTTTTGTTTTTTCGAAACGCTGTCCAACCGTCAAGTTCAGATCCTCACAGGATGATACGAATTAGATGCATCAAGACACCTCAACTTAAGCCGGGGGTACGCACAAATACCGATTTTTTTTTTTTTTTTTCGAGCTTCGATAACATTTGAAGTTGGGCAATTCAAATGAATATTTTAAGTTTTGCTTTCCCGCAGTTCACAACAAAGAAATGAGAGTTTACGGAACGGTTATGCCTTTTATGGAACTCCAACTTGCTCGCTTTGTTGCGCTAGCTAACATTGTTGCCATAAATTTCAGGAACTTAAATGACTGTTTTGGGCCCCAAAATACAAGTTGTGTTTTTCCCTGAGTACTACAAGCGTGGAAACCGTTCTGTCATTTTTATTGCACTTCCGATGTGCTTCTCATCCACTTTCACATCGCTATCACGGCGTGCGTGGCTGTGTTGACCACACACACACACACACACACACACACACACACACACACACGTAAGGATTTGTGATTGTAAACATGGAAAAGGTTGAACGTACACGATTGTCAGCTGCTTTCTGAGCAGAACCGGGAGGAAAGAATCAACACACCTTACACCACAGGCTAATCGCTCAGAATCATTTTTGGGAGTTATGTAACGCTTGTGTTTTTCCTGACTTACAGTAGGTGACAAGGGGGTGAAGACTCAAATCAGGCAGGGTTATTTGTGTGTGTGTGTGTGTGTGTGTGTGTGTGTGTGTGTGTGTGTGTGTGTGTGTGTGTGTATATCCGGTTTTGTCTTTTATTTTAGTCAATGACCTCCTGCCAGTGACAGTGCAGTGTAGTCGTCTAGAAAAAAACACGTTTTGTTTTTTTAACATAATTTTACCCCTTCTGCATGCTTTAAATCATGATTTAAAAAAAAAAAAGACTGCTTAAATTGTCGTTATTTTACATTCGCTACGTGCATGTACTTTGTACTGCATTTTCATCCATATTGATATATCTTCAATATTTATATGACTATAAAAAGCGATAAAAACCCATACAAACCACAAATCAGGGATTGCGCAATAAACAAGGAGATAAATTTCCCCCAAATCCGCCGCGGATGAAACACAATAGCGCTGGGGAACACGTTCAATCATTTTTTTTTTGCCCATCGCAAATAATTCTAATTGAACCTGAACTAGGCATGTTAACTGTCATTCAATTGTTTCAAATTCTTCACTGTGACGAGTAATCACGCAAGATTCGCAAAAGTCTTTTGCCAAGGTCAGTTCGAACTCCATGTTCATATGCACTGTTTTCGTAAATATTTTGTGAAAAACGGAATTTTTCAGGTTCCACTGTATAGTTGTGTGCATGTCGTCATTTTGCAGTCTAAACAAACCTCCGGACAACTTTTTTTTTTATCAGTTACATTTTTAGACTTACACTATTTTGCCCGTTGCTAAGCTCCAGTCCCAGGGTCCACAAAGAGAAAATCATTCTTCCATGCCAAAGCCTTAAAAAAAAAAGACAATCGCTCTGATTTATGGATCCAAACTTGGAACTGATTGGTCGCAACACAGAAGGCAGTAAATTGAAGACGATACAATAAAACCTTCAAGCTCCAGGCATCTTGGGTGGGTTATCTGGAGGAAATTGGTCCCCCAGCTCCAGTCATCTTACATCCGGTATTGTTTCATTGCTATCGAACAATACAGGGGTCCTTTTTTTTGGACCGAGTTCCATTTGTACACCGGTGACATCAGAGGAATTTGAGCTTAAGACTGAATGCGTTGTAGTCTATCACTGCCGTAGGCTAAGGTGGTACAATTACAGTAGAGATATGTTTGAAAATAAAAATTCATTTTACAAAATACCTTTCAAAATAAATACCTCCAGGATTTTACTTTGAAAAAAATGCACCAGAAGCCTGCGTGTAACTTCCGCTAACAACCCAGGCTAAACTTACATACTTCCTTGACGCATCACTTTGATATTTAGACAGTGCTTTGGCGGCACCTTGTGGCATCTTAGTGTATTTCAAAAAGAGTGCAAATACTGTAAATACACTATAAAATACAACTTGTATTTTTGGGTTTTAAAAAAAATCCATTTAGTTTGAAACACGTTATAAATTCCTGACATTTATGGCAACGTGTTAATTAGCAAGAAAAGCAAGCGAGTTGTTTTCACTCATATCTCGAAGTTGAGGTCCCATTAGAGGGACAAATGTTCTGTCAACTCTTCTTTCTTTGCTGTGAAATGCAGGAAAGACGATTGTCACAACAGCAAAAATTGCCCAACTTAGAATGTTTTCAAAGTCCCTTGCGTTGACATTTTGAGGTCACCCAACATTTTTTTTTTTTTTTTTTACACCGTAGGAATGGAAAGGTTCCACAGAGGGAAAAAAAAAAAAGCCAAATCGGTAAATTCATGAAAAATTACCGAATGTGAGAAGCTGGCAAATTTGTGAGTCGACTTCGACACCCCCATCCCGAATTGATGCCTTCCAGGCTTGGATGTGAAATGAGCTATTGTCTTGCGTCGAACTCTGTGCGTCTATTGTTCAGTGTTGTCCCTTGTCCTCCAACAAGCAAACCTCTTCAATCCTCCCGCCCCTGGATTGCCTTTTTCTTTTTTTCTTTTCTTTTTTAAACCAGTCTTCCTGTTTCCCGCAGCTTACATCGAGGACGTGGCGCGCTGCGTGGATCAGAGCAAGCGGCTCATCATCGTCATGACGCCCAACTACGTGGTGCGGCGCGGCTGGAGCATCTTCGAGTTAGAAACCCGCCTGCGCAACATGCTGGTCACCGGCGAGATCAAGGTGATCCTCATCGAGTGCGCCGAGCTGCGCGGCATCATGAATTACCAGGAAGTGGAGGCCCTCAAGCACACCATCAAGACCCTGACCGTCATCAAGTGGCGCGGCCCCAAGAGCAACAAGCTGCACTCCAAGTTCTGGAAGCAACTGCAGTACGAGATGCCCTTCAGGCGCACCGAGCCCATGCTGGGCCACGAGCCGGCGCTGGACGTCAGCGAGCAGGGCGCCTTCGGCGAGCTGCAGACCGTCTCCGCCATCTCCATGGCGGCGGCCACATCCACCGCCATGGCCACCGCCCACCCGGAGCTGCGCTCGTCCTTCCACAACTCCTACCACACCACCGTGAGGCAGAAACACTACTACCGCAGCTACGAGTTCGACCTGCCCGCGGGGGGCACCCTGCCGCCGCTCTCGTCGCTGGGGAGCCAGCACACCTACTGCAACATCCCCCTGACGCTGCTCAACGGCCAGAGGCCGCCGGGGAAGAGCCGCGAGCACAGCCTGGAGGAGGCGCACGCCAACAACGCCATGCTGCCCCTGCTGCCGCGCGAGACCAGCATCTCCAGCGTCATCTGGTAAACCCGCTCGCAAGCCGGGAGAGTCCACGCGGTCAAAGTCCTTTTTCGCTTTCTCCACGGGAGACGCCAGTTTCCCCCCCACTGAAAGGACCGACACTCTGTTTTGGGTCATTTTCTACGTGGTGATTTGTCAGCATCCAAGGACACTCACGTAGAAGAACGTTCTGGTGCGCACACACTAACACACTCATACACACGTATGCACACACACACACATGCACACACACATGCATCCATCCACGCAAAAGGAAAACAGGGTCTTGTACATATACAGCATCTGCATTCATTTGTAGCATTCCTCTTCTGTTCTCTCATTCACACGTCTGTTGCCTTCTCCATCCTAGGAGTTTGCTTTAACTTCCAGAGGTGTATATTTTTAATCACTGTTTTTTTTTTTTTTTGGTTTTGTTTTTACTATTCAATGCCCATGTGCTTGTTCGAAAAGCCAGTTATGCAGTGTACTCTTTCATTTGAAATAATTGCATTCTTTCTAGGTTTCCCTGGACATTTTAACAGCTTCCAGGAGCTGTAATGACATTTTTTTTTTTTTAGGGGGGCGGGGGGTTTGACCTGTAAAGGGTGTATCTACTTTTAAAAAAACGGTGTATCACAACAACAACAAAAAAAAAAAAACATAGAATATGCAAAAATGAAAAGTGTGGGGCTGAGAAGGAGGGGGTGGGGCTTGTCCACATCAATCAGCTCCCTGCAGCAGAAGAAGAAGAAGACAACGTTTGGTATTTTCTATTTGAGACGCTGTTTGAGAATGCCTCACCTTAAAAAAAACAACGTGTAGATTATTTTAAAAAAATAACTCTATTTTTATAAGCGGTTGCCTGAGGACTCAAATTTTATTGTTTCATCCACCACGGGAGGACAATTCAGTGTTTTGTACACGACTTTTGAATCCCACAAAAACTCAAATCATTCTCATTGTTTGTTTGTTTTGTTTTTAAAAGGAAAAAAAAACAACAATATTCACATTCTGATAACTGCTTTGGTTTCCTATGTAACAATAATTCATGTTTAAGGCAAGAAAAAAAAAAGAGTACATTTGTGTTCGGGGGGGCAAAGACTTTAGATATATTTGAAGGTGTGACTTTTTTGAGTATGCATAGCAAATAGATCTGTATTCTATATATAATATAGATATTTATATAAATATATCAACACAATTTTCACGCGGGGAGAAATGTCTATCTTTATAGGAACACGAGTCATGATCAGTTTGCCCCTTATACTTTCTCACTGCACATTAAAAACAACCTTGATTTCCTTTGTACGCCTCCCCTTTTGTGTGCAGTAATATTTGAAAGTCTCGGAACTCCATTGCGAACCAAAACAGCAGCTCCCGCCCTATCATGTGACGTGCGTCTCTCAGATGAATTCGAGGACTGTCGGAAAGTCTCCAGTGTTGAACAGGATTGTACTTGACGTGGAGATAATTAGCGTTTCGGGGATTCAGACACATTCCACAATGCCGTGTATTCTTATTTCACTGCGGGGGGGTCACATTTCTTGGCGTTTCCCCAGCCTCCATACATCTTCTATGCTGCTTATGCTCACAAGAATCACGGACGAGTGGTTGGAGTGGTTGCCAGTTATTGTCAACATCACACAAAATTGCTCCATAAAATCTTTGAAGACTCGAAAAGGTGCTTGGTCTGATTTGGCTGTGCTTTTTTTTTTTTTCTTCTTCGTAATGCAATGCAGAGGTATCAGATCGAGACTTGGTAGCGACAGATACTTATGTGCCCTGCAATGGGCTGCGTAATGCTGAAAGTCAGCTGGGAATACCTTTATGAGAGTGAGCGCTATAGAAAATGGGTGGATGAATTATTACAAAAATGCCTGCAGGTAAAAGCCCCACTCTGAATAAACACTTCACCAGGTCCGCAGCGGAGTAACCGAAGACTGATGACGGCTGAACTACTGTGTGTGTCTCATCGGGTTCCTTTCCATGTGAGTATAAAACACATCAAGTACAGTATCTGGTATACTTTACATCTAAGTACATGCACTGTCACTTGAAATAACTCACCTCAATGACTTCATAGTGGGCTTGGATAAACAGCTGTCTTCCTGTCTATAAACGTCATTTCTACAATTAAAACAAGCACACTTCCTGTTTATGCACTAAAGTTGCAGCTTCATGGCCGATGCGACATTGCACCCTTGCTGTGAGGAGTCCATTAGTTATAGTTAAGAGTTATAAGACAGAACTGCTTGTCAATCATTGCACTTCCTGCTTGGGAAAGCATGCTGTGTCTATTGACACGTAAGTAGACAAACTAAAACCATGCACGTTTCTTTTCATCATTGCACAAGTCGTCTGATTATTTGTATGATTGCTACATAAATGCTGCCAGACAGTGCCATCTCCTGGGGGTTCGCACACACAGACAATCTTTAGAATGGTAAACAACACTGCAACACCACAGAGGGAAAAGTCAAAGTAGGCCAAAATCAAACAGTAAAAACAAGAAATGATAGTTTAGCACTCTAATGCTGTGAGCACAAATGCAGGGACATTAGCTTCCCCTGTTAATCCTTGACTTCTGACCTGAATCTTAATTCTTCATGTTTAGAGTCACATGTTTGGTCATCCTCTGACATTGTGGAGCTTAATTTTGTTTTGTTTTTGTGTCGAGTCATTAAACTTCACGAGCATTGTATCTGTCTAGTATATCCCTACATTTTCTAAGATCTTAATTCTTCATGTTTAGAGTCACATGTTTGGTCATCCTCTGACATTGTGGAGCTTAATTTTGTTTTGTTTTTGTGTCGAGTCACTCAACTTCACGAGCATTCTGTCTAGTATATCCCGGCATTTTCTAACATTTATCCTCATTAGGGCCACCCACCTTAGCTGATGACTTTGGCCGTGAAATGGGATACACCCTGAACTTATTGCCAGTCGATGTGGTTCCAATTTGCTTGCAATTGGATAAAATCTCTCGAAATTGGTCTTGATAGGGTCCCCTGGAAATGGGCAAAAATGACCCTAAAATGGCTGCTTCAAACCAAAATGGCAGACTTTCTGTGTCTTTTCAGTCATGGCCATAGAGTGCTATTACAATAGAGGGCGCCAGGTTGCATGAATATTATCAAGACATGAGATTTTAAATTATCAGATGGCTATATCTTTTTTTGATGAGCAGGATAAACTTTATGTACTATTTAATCGTTTCAGTAATCTGTGTTTTTTGATTTGTGGCGCATTTCTGCCCTCGGGAGCACAAAAATCTTTAGCAATAAATTCGTTGAAAGTTTCACATGGACATTCGCACCTCGTCCAAGAAATTGGAGCATATCTCTCTGAATGTATATCAAACGTAGGCACGAATACGAATATTCTGAGTACGAAAGACCCATTGTGTGTACGAATGCGTGCGCGTCGGTGTGAGTGACAGATCATACTTATCTACCTACAATTTCAATATTGCACCACTAGAGGGCAGAAGAGATTTGTTACCAATAGGTACAGTATTTGCTCATCAGATAGATGGCATTTTTTAAGGCGTCTACGTTTAAATTGTCATTATACACCGTAAATTCTTCTATTGTTAAACAACTTTTTATTAAATATGTCACACAATTAGAATTGCTCTCCCCCTTACAAATGCCACTTTATTTGTCCTACATGCAGTATTAGTTTACCCCCTTTTTTTAACACATTTGGCTGTACTCCTGTCATTAGAGTAGCACTCAGCATTATACTTTGAATCTCAAGGAGTTCTAAAGCCAAAGGGGAAAAATAAATATATTCTGTGACTCGCTTTTTCTCGGAAAAAAACCCAAAAACAAATCAATAATATCACAATAATATTGTATTTTTATGGAAAATAGGTGGACTATTGTGACAATAAAACTATTATTTTTCAAGCAAAAAATGACCTAGAATGAAAATAGCCTTTTTTTTCCAAGGATAAATGGTTTGACAACAGAGTTGTATTGTGACAATAAAACTATTATTTTTCAAGCAAAAAATGACCGAGAATGAAAATAGCCTTTTTTTTCAAGGATAAATGGTTTGACAACATAGTTGGCTGTACTCCTGTCATTAGAGTAGCACTCAGCATTATACTTTGAATCTCAAGGAGTTCTAAAGCCAAAGGGGAAAAATAAATATATTCTGTGACTCGCTTTTTCTCGGAAAAAAACCCAAAAACAAATCAATAATATGACAATAATATTGTATTTTTATGGAAAATAGGTGGACTATTGTGACAATAAAACTATTATTTTTCAAGCAAAAAATGACCTAGAATGAAAATAGCCTTTTTTTTCCAAGGATAAATGGTTTGACAACAGAGTTGTTTTTTTTAAGGGAAAAAATAACTTTGGAATAACGCTACAATTAGGTTTTATTTTGGGGAAATGAAAAGGCATACTGTTATAAAGTAGTTCCTTTTTGACAACTAGTTATGTGTCAAAGAAAAGGTTTTACATGACAGTAAAGCTGTATTTATGTGAGGATTTTTATAGAGTCATACTTTAAATCATTTTTTTAGCACAAAAAAATGCAAATTATCAAGTCTACATCCAAAATCTGGTGTCACTTCTTGTTTATAAAATGATGTACGTGTGGTGCGTTTGTCACACTCTGGTGGTAGCAAATAAAATTCAAAATTGAAAAAAAAATCGTTCCATTCCAAAAATACTACATTTGGGTTTTGATGGACGTTTGAATGCATTTCATCGCATTGTGCAAGTGTACCTGTTAAGGCTCAGGGACTGCTGATTCCACTTTAATGAAGCCTCCTGCAGGCTCACATTTGTCACAATGGAGCTTTATCAAAACGTAAACAAGCTGCTGGCCCGAATCAGTGTGACCCAAATTCACTGAAGGTAACCATGTGAGTTTTGTCAGCCGTTTATCTGCATGTATCACGTATCACCGACGTCAGCTGACCCTGTGGAAAGTGTGTCAATAACAGCACTGAAGAAGAACACTCGAGGGAGTTTATTTTAGAAAAATAGTTTATAAAACAAATAAGTTAAGCTATGAATTACAGTGGCTTGCTTTAACGTAACATAAAACATTCACACACACGCATTCCTTTTTTTTTTTTTTTTGTAGACGCTTTTCACTTGTCCAATAAGGACTTTACAGTCTGTCTGGTAACCGGATGGTAACGTATACTGGAGGCCTTGGAGTGTTGTGTTACTTCCCGTAGAACATCTCCATGAGCACCTCCTCAATGTTGACGCTGCCAATGATGGGCTTGAAGAAGAGCTGGGCCACCACCGATGGGCTGATGGACCTCAACATGGACAGGGCGATGAGCAGCTTGGCGAAGCGCGTGGCATCCTCGCGGTGGATCAGTCGGACGTGCTCGTTAAGGGCTTGATGAGCCTCGCGCCGCAGCGACTGGATGTACGGCAGGCAGCGGAGACCCTCCAGATCTGAAAAGACATGGAGGACGAGAGGGAGAAAAGGCAATGTTAAGAGATGGCACCAACTTCCAGTATGATGGTAATACACAAATTCCGGAGAACTTATACATCAGTGCAATCTAGTGGCATTCAATAGATGATTCACTTATATCTTCCAAAAATTAATGTGCCTAACATTTAAATGTTTACTTAAAAAGTTTATTTGGGGATGGGGAGGTTCATTAAAATGTTAAACAGCTTTAGGAAATGCAAATGTATATTTTTCTTAAATAACATCTTCATTATTTTTCTTTATTTTAATTTCTCTCTTTCCCTTTTATTTTTTTAAATGAAATGTTAAGTAACTTTAGGTCGAATATTATGCCCAATTAAGTTGCCAAATAAGTTTCTTTAACATTCAAAAACGGGGTATATTTTAACTACTGACCAATGGTCCTGATCTCGGAAAAGAGATTTGTTGTTGTTAAAAAACAAAACTTTAGGGGCACCCTGCATTAGGTAAAAATAGCACTTCTTTGGGAAGCTTATGAGTGTATTAAAAAAATTGTTCCAAGATTTTTTTCTCCAAACATTGTATTTTTAAATCAAAAAGTAAAGTTGATATAATAAGTCGTGTGTGTGTCAATAAAAGACATTATGAAAAGAATAACAAGTTGAATTTTAACGATTTGGTGTACAGCTGCATCCATACATAGTTTCTATTTTTAAAAAAAGTATAAAAATATATCGATGTAACATTATTTTTTGACATCAAAAAAATACCACAAGCATTCGTGTGTTTTTCATTTATGTTCTTGCTGCTTTTAATTGAAATGCCGCGCAAATGTGTCCCTGATGTCCTGGCCAAATAGCTACCGGAGGTTACTCAAATACGTACTTTTGACATAACCGTGAACTTGCTGGTGACTTTACAAAAGCGGTGTGATGAACACCCCCATTTAGGCTGCCCCGAGTGTTGCCCCCCAAGGGGCTGACGGATTTACCCGGGTTGAAGAGCACGGCTCCCTTCAGATAGGCGTACTCCTTGGTGCTGATGTCCACACTCCAGCACTTCCTCAGGAAGCCTCTAATGGCCTCGATGTCGGCCAACGACACGCCGGCTCCCCCGCCTCGACTCGGAAGCGCCACCGTCACCGCCGCCGCCGCCGCCGCCGCCGCCTCGCTGTGACTCTGGGGCGCCCCGGTGAGGATCCGCTGCAGCATGCTCGGCTCCACCGTCTCCGTGGTCTCGAAGTCCACGCGGTCCTGCGCCAATCCCAGCACCAGCAGGGGAGCCCAGCCGCTTCGGATCAAGACCACCTGTTCTTCCTCGGGCAGTTCCCTGAAGCACGGCACGTTCTTGACGAATCGCAGCGTCTTGACCAGGATGGCGGAGGCCGCTTTGCATGTCACCTGCGGGGAGCTGAGGACACCGCGACGCCGCGTTGCCCCGCAGGAGCGCGCCGCCTGCTGCTGCTGCTGCTGCTGCTGCTGCTGCCGGGGCTCCTGATGTCGCCACGCCGGCCCGGAGGCTACAGACGAGGCGGACGAAGAAGACGGCGAGTTCCTGTGGCTGTGGAGTAAGTTCTGTATCGTTTCATGTTGCTGTTGTTGCTCCTCTCTGTCACTCTTAAGAATGCTGTAAAGGATGCTGCCGCCGCTACCGCCGCTGCTCTTGCTGTGGAGGCTCGCACGCCGACAACGACAGCCCTCCAGCGTCGTGGCCATGACCGCTGGCCGGAGAGCGCGGCGCGTCCCTCGGCGGAGGTCAGTGCGGAGGAGGCGCCGTTTAATTTGGAGCTCCAGATAGCCTCCGAGCGAAGGGCGACGCGCTGTTGTTTGGGGGGCGGGGGAGGCGCTCCCGTGTGTGTGTGTACCTCCACTTTCTCCGCTTTTTTTTTTCTTTCTCCACTCGCATCCGATGGTCGTTCCGCCTCCCACAAGTAAAAGGTAGGTACCTCCCTCGCTTTATTTTTCCTCTCTCCCTCTCGCTATGGGCAAAGGTACTGTCCCCGTTACTTCATGGGCAAACCGGACAAAGTGCTGGAAAGATTAAGTATTAATGTTGATCATCAAATGTAAGCGGGGCATTTTTTTTGTGCTAATAAGGACCCTAAAATCCTGACTGAGGCTCATTGTCGAACAAATGAATTGTCTCAAGGCTTATTCTGTCACTGTTAAAAACACGAATGGACATTTAACACAGTTTCCAATTGAACCACTTTTATACTCACATCTTTGAAACGAAAAGCATCACTCGTGTCATCTCGCCCGCGTGCTCCAACAGCAGTGCTACTGTAACTGGTAGGAGCGTCTGGCTCTTGCTGTTGTCAGTCGAGACCTTTGGTTGTTTTGAAAACAAGTGCTTGTTATCTCTTGCCTTTTCTTCTGCAGTCCACAGCGATGAATTCATTTCAGTTTCTTTCAGGATCTGTCTTTGAGAATAGAGTATTTTATTCTTAAAGTCAATATCAACTTTATCTTTTTTTTTTTTTACACTGTGGCAAGCAGACAACATGGGTGAGAAGTCATTGTTTGTCATACCATCCACAATCATGCTTTCATGAAATAAAATGAACACATATCCATAAACTTGCTAAAGACATTCATTACAAAAGGAGAAGCAAACCGAAGTAAAAAGCAGCATTGAGAATTGTGAAGAATATTTTTTTTTTTTTACTCCAAGTGATCTTCAATCAAAGTCATTAAAAAAAGTCCCCCACATCCAAAGTGATGTCCTCAAAGGTCATCAAGTTCTGAAGTACAAGTACGCAAAGCGAGGTCCTTGAAACTAAATTTTCAAAGACGAGTCCTTAAAATGATGTCTTGGAAGCTAACTTCTAAAAAGAATCGTGATTACCTCAAAGTTCTGACAGACTAGTGGCCACTGAGAAGGCAATAAAGCTAACTTCTTAAAGATCAGTGAAAGAAAAGCCCTTAAAGCTCGGAGTAATCTTTGAATTTAAGTTCTCAAAGACTAGTCCTTAAGGTGGTACCCTTAAAGAAGCGTTATTGCGCTTAAGGCTATGTTCTTTAAGACAAGAGCGAAAACAAGAAATCAAAGAGAAGTCCTTTCTGCTAAGTCCTAAAAGCTGCGTCCTGCAAGACCAAATTTTAAACCAAAGTTTCGGAGACTAGTCCTTAAAGGTAAGAACTCAGAGGAAGGTTATTTAACTTTGCGAATAAAGGCAACACCTTCAAGCTAATTCCTCCTTAAAGCAAAGTTCTTAAATACAAGTCCTTGATCCTAACTTTTGAAAGAGCCCAAAAAAAAGACCTTAGTTTTGAAACCTCACTTCTTAAAGCCAAGTCTTTAAAAAAACAAGTCCTTCAAAACAAATTCCAAATGCTTTGAGTTTAACAAGACAAGTCTTCAAAGAGTAGCACTTTAAAAAGCTTAGTTCAGATTCTTACACAAGACATTACAAATAAGTCCTTAAGCAGCAAGTCCTTAAAATCTCAGTCGGCTCTACCCGCAGCATTACCTTGACGCTGCGTCAGTGTTGTTTATAAGGCAGGAAGTTGGTCCCCCTCCAAAAAAAAAAATTATATATAGGGCAGTGACAGATCTGAAGGCTTAATTATTTTAGGGACAATTTATACGATTTTCCACGAGAAAGAAGCTGGAAGAGGCGAGCTGTGAAGGCCAGCCAACAACCTTGACTCGGACACACTGATATTGATTCAACGGAGAAAACAGGAGCTGGTGAATTATGATGTCATGACTCAGTGCTCTCCTTGCCTTTGTCACTAAAGAGGAATGAGGAGCTGCAGCGGGAGAGGAAGGAAGGGATGGGGAGACGGCTGGGGCGGAGTCAGGCTTGGAAAAGACACTTGTGGATAAAGCAGATGAATTAAACGCTTTCGCCTAATTGTTCCTCAGAGGGAGCGCGGTTGAGCGACCTGAAACCTGTGAGCAAATAAAGACAAACGCACCCAACAACGACCGTACCGATGTGTTTGGTACGCCAAACGGAAAGGCGTTGACAAGTTTTGCGGAAGGTAAAAGTCAATGTCGAGAGCGCCAAGCAAGTTGAGGAAGTGCAGCGTGTGGCCCGCCGTTGGGGTCAACCATCACGTGCGAGAGTTTTGTTGCCTTTTGTAAAGCGGACACAAAAACGGCACATTCACATTCACGCGCAAGCCACAAGCGCGACCTCCGCGACCCCTTGCGTCACCTCGAAGGTCGACGTGAATGAAGTCGGCGCCGTAAAACAACAAGAGAAAAAAAAACACGCTTTTGCAGAGGCACTCAGCAACACATTGTTGCCTCCGCTGAAAATCTTTGTATTGATGGAGCAGACGAGAGAAAGCGACGAGCTTCTTTTACATGTTTATATCAAGGTCGCCGCGGGATAAACAGCCTTCACTCAGTTCTTCTCTTGCGCGCTCAAGGCCCAGCCGGCAGCGCTTATAAAAACGCTCCCGTCTCAAGGAGAGATGACATGATGTCTTGTTGCAAACACGCCGTCGCGAAATCCAGCAGCAGCCCATCTCCGGCACTTGCGTCCCGTATACTGCGCAAGGTGTACTTTGAGCTCGCCACGGTGTACCTTTGGTAAGCCGGCGGCTCTTACTTCGCCTTGAGCGCGTTACTCGCCGCCGGACAGGCTTTGTTGACGATGGCGACCCATCGTGACGACAAAGAAGCGTGTTCAAACTCAAAACCGAATTCATACTGCGGTGATGGCTGGATAGAGTCACTTATCGGAGTAAAGAACAGAAATAAATTACAGAATTGGAGTAACGCAACAACTATGGAACAAATCATTCCTGTTGACTGAAAAAATGATTTTTAAAAAGAATATTCATAATGTTCAAAGTATTTTTTTACCATTTTTCAATTTGTTTTTACAATTTTGTTAAAATTCACGATTATTGAACGTTTTTACAAGTTCGGATGTGCATCTTGGCTATTTTTTATTTTTGTCTCCAATTAAAACAAAAATTGGCTTTTTGGCTGCTGAAACAAATTCCCG